TAAAAATAAAATAAAAATTATATAAAAGTTTAGGCTCAAAATTTAATATATTTCCATATTAGTAATTAGGAAAAAGATTGAAAAAATAATTTAAAAGTAATTTTAAAAAAAAATTTATTTTACATTTATTAAAAATTATAAAAAAATTTAAGTTCGATATATTTTTATATTAGAAAAAAAAATAAAATTATTTTTATATTTATTAAAAACTATAAGTTTAAGTTCAAAATATTTCCATATTAGAAATTACAAACAAAAATTTAAAAAAAATTTTATTTTATATATATTAAAAATTATAAAAAAAAATTTAAGCTCAAAATTCGATATATTTTCATATAAATAATTAGAAAAAAAATTAAAAATAATTTAATAAATAAATTTAAAAAAAATAATCCAAAAAACATAGTCGAAAAGACATTGTTAAATAAATATAGTCAATAGGAAATCAACAATAAATAAAGTTAAAGGTCAACAACTCTTTTTTTTGTCCAAAAATCCAAGCACTTGCATTCAAGCCAAGTTTTGTAATCGAATTAGTAACACAAAAAAAAAAAAACAAAAAAAATTTAAAAAAAACTTTTAAATCTATTAGTAAAAACTAAAATTTGTTTTAAGATAAACAGCAAAATAAACAAAACCCTCGAAAAAATCATTTTAAGAAAAATAAACAAACCTTCAAAATGAAAAAAAAAAAAAAATGTATATATATATATATATATATATATATATATAAAGAAACGATCGTAAAGAAAATAGTCAAAAGCCAAGTTTTTCAAGTTTAAATATTAATTTTATTTTTTTGGCATTTTATTTTCATTTATTTTTTTTGGTAATGAAAGCAAATTCGAAGCTAAAGACACCAGAAAGCGCTAAACTCGTAAAGAAAAAGGCACTAAATTTGAGACCTCAGTTCAACTTCAGTCCGTTTATTCTTCGTCTGCAAACTGAGCTCAAATTGACTTAAACTTGACATGATTTATCACGGCAAAACCAACAAAGCCGCGATGCGACGCACGTCAGCGTTTTGTAGGCGTCGATACCGGCTAAAGGTTGAAACTAATTATTTTACTGTTTAAATAAGAAAACACAAATACGTGCCGAAGAGAAAAATCATTGAAGATTTAATGAAAAGCGAAACTGAGAAGTAGAGCAGTGCATGTCTATAGATAAAAATAGGGTTTAACACTATTTTAGAGAGAGGCCACAGAATAATAGGAAATGACATACTCAAAATATACCTAAAACGGATTTAACAATGTAACGTCACTGTCCTTCTTAACTTTGATCCACTATATTATTAACCCAAAACAAAAATTGTAGTGTTCTAGGTGGATAGCTTGAGATTTAATATATATTTGTTCACTCCCCATAAAATTGTTAGTTTATATTACCACACCCAGCTCTAGAGACACCCAGCAAGTTCAGATTGATATTAATGCAAGATATGAATGAAATGTGGTTGTTATAGCTGTATTGAACCAATTCTCTACAAATTTTGAAAAAAGACGGATCCTCAAAACGTCTATTAAATCTTTTTTTATATAAATCACTTATTACTTGTAATAACCCAAATTTTCTGTGGTGTCGAATTAGTTTTTATTTACAATAAAGTTAGCAATTGAAAAATATTATAATATTAATTATAATTCTTTTTATGTTTAATTTAAATTGTTTATATAAATGAAATTTAACAAGAGAGAGTAATTAAAATTAATAGGAACATTTACATTAGAACTTCTAATGCCAGTTTGAAGTAGTAGTGATAATTCAAAGTATCATCGTTTCATCGCTATAGGTTTAGTTTTTGTTAAAAACAACTTATAGACCTAAATTGAAACAACTACATAAATAAATAAATAAAAATAAATAAATTAAAATAATTATAAGAATTTTTATAGATGTTGATGTTGAGCCTTTCCCGAGTTAGTGCATCTGGGAACTTTTACTCTTTGATAGCTAGGGGGTTCCTACAGAGTCCCATCCATCTCACTGATTAATTCTTCATAAGCTTTGTGATTATTCAATGACTGATCTAAGATCTGACTTAAAAAACTATAAACTTATTCTAAAGAACTTTTAGGTTTTATAAGAAAAATATTGAGACTACAATATATACTGAAAGCTTGCATGTGGATATGCATAAATAATATTAATACCCAGGTGGGCAAAAAAAAACTTAAATGAAGCAATACAGCTTAATAAAATGAGTTCAATTTTACACTTTATTAAGAATATTGGATTTAGAAAAATATTTTTAATTAATGAAATGATTAAGGTTTACGTCTGTACAATTAAAAAATTTTTTAACAATAAATTTTACAACTCAAAGAATGATACAGCGAAGAAAATAAATTGATTTATCAAAGTTAAAAGAGATTAAAACTAATAGTATTTGATATCAAAAATCAGTGCCTTTCAAATCTGAAAAGGATTAGCAGTTTTAAATAGTTTGGACTTTAGTGTGTGGCACAAAAATTGAAAGGCAGTTTAGCAGATTTATGCAAAGCATTTCAAATGTAAATACAAGTCGCAGTTTAAAATATTGCTAGGAGTTACAGTTTGATAGTTCTTCAAATAATAAGAGAAATTACAATTTGACAGTCCTCCAAATATTAAAAGGAGTTACAGTTTGATAGTCCTTCGAATAATAAAAAAAGTTGCAAGCTAATAATCTTCCAAATTTTAAAGGTTTTTGCAGTTTGATAGTCCTTCGAATAATAAAAAAAGTTGCAAGCTAATAGTCTTCCAAATATTAAAAGTTGTTACAGTTTGATAGTCCTTCGAATAATAAAAGGAGTTACAGTTTAATGAACTTCCAAATATTAAAAGGAGTTAAAGTTTCATAGTCATTCAAATAATAAAAGGACTTACAGTTTGATAGTCTTTCAAATAATAAAAGGGGGTTCAGTTTGATAGTCTTTCGAATAATAAAAGGGGGTTCAGTTTGATAGTCTTTCGAATAATAAAAGGAGTTACAGTTTAATAGTCCTTCGAATAATAAAAGGAACTATAGTTTGACAGTCTTCCAAATATTAAAAAGCGTAACGTTTGATAGTCCTTCGAATAATAAAAGAAATTACAGTTTGATAATCTTTCAAATATTAAAAGGAGTTACAGTTTGAAACAATCTGCATAGCTAATACATAATTACTAACAGCAGTGCAGTCAAACTGTTGCAATAACCAAATATAAATTATTTTTATGTCTGTTTTAGTTTATTTAACAATTTTTAATTATCAATAAAAAATCTGACGTAAAGTGAGACATTCTTCTCATCACAAATTCATAGCGCATAAGTAAAAACTTTTTTTTCGTAATAAAATCATGTACAAATGGGAAAAAACTATTAAGTACCGAAGAAGTTGCCGTGCATTTTTAATGAATTTTTACACGTGAACCGCGTAAATTAAAACATTTTTATTTTGTAAAAGGCAAAGACTTATGAAAACTGCTGACGGAAGCATTTCAATAATTTTTCGCACAAATTTAGACAAATGTTGATTCAGATGAAATATTAGTTCAATTTTTAATTTTTATTTCAAATTATTTTTAATCATTTACACATTGCATGGATTTGGTGCTTTCGAAGCAAAAATTTTTATTTAATCTTTATTTTTTTTTTTATAAAATGGTATTCCTTTTAATTACCTGTTTAGAAAGAAGAAGATTATTTCGAAAAAAATTGTTCATAATTTCATAGAAAAGAAATATGAATTCAATCTAAAAGTTTTAAATTATCTATAAGAACTTACATATTAGGCCTTTTCTTTTGTAAGCATGTCGCAAAAGAACAAATAAAATAAACACAACTTCGTGGCAAAACTGGACAAAAAACGTTATAAAATTTTATGTTGAAATTTCGAGAATGAATAATAATTCTTTGCAATTATTGATGAAAAAAAATGATTCTGAATAAAACATAATTTTTCGTACCTTTTAACAGTAAAATAATAAATAGAAAAAATAAAGTATTTGTTACGAATAATGACGACACAAAAACGAATAATTAACGATTCATTAACGATAATTCAAAAAACAGTCTATCGTAAATTTCTACTAGAGAGATATAGCAAAATTTCAGCCTTCCGTTAAAATCATATGAGCATTTCATTGACTAATAAATTCAAATACAAAAATAAATAAATTGATTTAAATATACAAGATAAAAATTCTTACCATTGCCCTTATAATATGTATTTTGTTTTCTTTTATTTAAATTAATAAATGCTTAGTGTAGAAATTTTATATCTCATATTGTACATATAGTGTACAAAAAACATGTTAAAAATAAGCACTTAACATATCATCCTGATCTAATTCTGTGTTTTTACAGCTCTGAATGAAAAAAAGACGACTATTATACGTAACACAACAAAAAACATATGTCAAAAACAAGCATTTGAAATATTTTAAAAGTGATGCCAATCTGTTTTATCAGACTTAACTTAGAACTCTGAACTAAAATATTACTGCTAATATTGTGTTTTATGCGATAATTTAAAATTATTTAATTCAAACAGATGTTAAAACATTTTTTACGAATATTTTTGGTTGTGTATTTTTATATTTTAAAAATAAAATGTATACTTTATTAGTTTAATAAAAACAAAAACAAAATAGTATACAATTACTATCAACACTTTTTAATCATACAATTTAAATCGTTTAATCACATTTACACATATAGACTTTACTCTATACAATTTTTAAAGATTTTTAAAAATTATAGTAAACATGGCAACAGCGCAATTCTTACGAATGAGTACATAAACAGAATGAAGCATAGAATAGTGAATCAAAAGCAAATAGAGAACATAACTAAGACGTCAGACAGATCTAAAGCAATTAAATGTGAAAATTCAAGAAATACTGTTGGCAAAACAAAATATACCAAAGAAAAACATAAAAATATGAGTGTAATTCAGATTTGGTAGAGAAGTTAAGTTTTTCCGAAAGAATTTAATAAATTTAATGTAATAATTTTACCGCGATTCTAAAAAATTACTCTGCCTTTTGTGATGTCGAATTATACGACCACGTCCAAACTTTCGCTAAAACCAGCACTCAAACGTAATCAGGAAGCGATGTCCCATTCACAGATGAACGCCTGGATTAATGGTGAGTTTGTTGTGAACCTTTTGGCCATGAATTCCAAGGCACTTCAAATTGAAGGCACAAAAACAAACGGGAGGAGAATGCATGAATGACAACTCAGCAACTCAAGTGGAGTTTATTGATTTTTCAACAAAGAAAAAAAAGAAAATAAGACTTTAGTTGCTATGTTCAATTAGCATGTGATTTATTATATAAAAATAAAATTAATGGACATTAAATTCAACTTTTTTTTAACTGTGTTGTACCGACATTAAGTTTACTTAACAAAAGTCTGAACGAGGGTAGCTTACTAATTACAAGTTTACCTTGAAAATCAATTTTTTTTCTTTTTCGTATGAAAAAGCGCAAACGATTTGTGTTTTTATGTTTCCATGTGAGTGTGTAAATGAAATTTTGATTAAATTGCAATTTTTAATTAATTTTCAGTTAGTTTGAGATGCTTTAACAGTTCAGCAATAAACAATACAGAGTAAGAGTTCGTTAAAAAATTTTTCTAGTTGGATTGACGCAATCTGCAGGTGCAATCAGCGACCCACATTTCCACATGTGATTGAGAATCGTTATATTTGATTGATCAAAATAGGCATTGTTTTGTTTTTTAAAATATTTAACAAAACCAAATCAAATTATAAAAATAAAGCAGGAATTCAATTCAAAAATTCTAATTCTTCGGGAGTGGTTAACTCCAAAAGCCATGAACGTAACTGTAATTGAGCCATATTATCAGATACATATTATACGGGATGTAAGTAGGATTATTTGCTCCATAAGTGGGTCTGCATATGCACAAAGCATAAGTAATTACAGATAGATCGTATGTAGCTAAATAATTCTTATTTTTAACATTAAAAAAATTATATATATGATTAATTATATATTATTTTTTAGATAGATTTTGCTTCAATTGCTGAAAGTATTAATGCTGATGCAGGTATGATCTCTTTTTCAAAGAATGTTACCGATAAAGGCACTATTACTATTTCTTAGAATAGCAGTTAGACGATAGTTTATTTAAACTTGGCTACTTTAAACATTTCTGTTCGATATAAGTACTTTAAAATGTTCGAACATAACGAATTTCGAACAGTTTGACTATACTTATATTCGAACAGTTAGATCAAATACCTAGGATATGGATATAACAATTTAAAAGATATGTAAATAGCAAATTTATATGATAGATAATTGAATTCAATCTTGAGAATTGCTAATATCAAAACATTACAATACTCTAACAGTCGAACAGTACTCAAATTCGAACATTTGGTTCGAACTTTGACAGAACAACTCAAAACAATTAGAGTTACTTACTTAGTTAATCTCAGCCCTAGGTGTCACGACATATTTAATTTCAAAATATTAAAATTATACTCAATATTTATAAAATGCACGATAATCTTTTGGATTATTGGACATGGTTTCTTAAAAGTGTCACACCAGTATGAGGTACTTAAGTACTTAACATTGTTGGTTACTTTTTTATGTCGTTGATCGTGACAGTTGAGAAAGTTAATTTTCTTTCGACGAGCAAATGCCGTTTAACACTCCTAAAAGGAACTACACAGATAGATCTCTGCTGGCTATATCCACACCGACATGATCTTGACGTCGAAAGAATATTTTCCCATAAGGATTTCATATATTTAAAAAACGATATGCGTTACTTTGAACAAATTAAAAGCAAGAACATTATGAACTCTAAAGTCAATAATTGCTATTTGAGCAGACCAAAACTCTTCGAGTTAGAAGAATTTTCGATTCAAATGTTCGAATTTAAATGTACTCTAAGTGCTTGAGTATGTGTCAATAGTTTCTACCTTTACATATTTTACAGCTTCAATATGTTTTTACAAATAAGTACAAAAAAAAAAACACAAATTGTGTCCGAACATTTTAGAAAGACATGCTGTGCTCGAATAAAATGCTTGAATACATGTATATTCGAACATCACAATGCAAAAAGTTTGCAACAACTGAAATATTTCAAACATCATCTGCTTCTAATTAACTGCCGTTTATGTTGGCACATCTATTTGTTATTTGTATAAACAATATGAAAGTGTTATATCTTAACATTCGGATATATGTCCAGAACATCAACATATGATGTATTATAAAAAATAGCAGGTGGCCATTATCTGTACAAAAATCCTTCCAAAAATTACAGCGCCTAAGAAATCGTTGTCGATAATAGGATGGAATTTTCAAATCTTATAATACGATTTCAATATTTTTTACTCTCTTGCTATAAGAGATATTCAGAACTTGCTTATCTATGCAAAACTAATAAATCTAATAAATTCAAAATTAAAAAATAACACCCGTTAGAACAAAAGTTTATCTTTAATAAATTCTCACGTTGCATATTCCGATTAACTCAAATAAAAATAATGTGTTGATATATAAATTCAACTCAAAATTATAATGTGAATCATTTTCAATACGATTTGATTAGTTTGAGTCTTAACCTTTGCATAAATAATACTAAATATAAAATTTATCGCATAATATTGTTTTTGGCGAAAATGGGAAAAAAGAAAATGTTCCGCTACTATTTACGAAGTAAACGAAAAAGTATCGAACGATGAGCAAAAAATTGATAAGCTAAACAAACAAAACCTAAATTATCTCGTTTTGTTATTAAACTTAAACAAATATTTGCATTTACAGTGGAAACCCTAAACAATGGCAACGGTTTGTTGCTCTCGCCGCCGCATAACAATTCTGGACACCCACAGCAGCAGCAGCAGCGTAACATCGGCAGTGGCAGCGCTTCCGGTGAAAACAATATACAAATAACACAACCGATAAGTGCGCCATCGTCGCCATTGGCCTCACCTGGTGCAGTAACGAGTTCTACTTCGTTTTGTCTACCCTCAAGCTGTTCCACAACTGCAGCTGCAGCCGGCAACAACAATAGTGGTGGCAGTGGCTCCTATGTTTGCTCAGCTGGTACCAACAATCTGGCTTTTGTGACTGCAACGAATGCGAACGACACTGCAGATCCAAACTGGCAAGCCAATAAAACAACAGTGTTGGAGCGAAATGCAGCTATGTTCAACAATGAATTACTGTCAGATGTAAAATTTATTGTTGGTGGAGAATTTGGTAAATATATAAACAATAAAATTAATTTATTAAAATAAAAAGTAAATAATTATATTGTTACTTCTTCCGATAGGACCCGTACAAACAATACCCGCGCACAAATACGTTTTAGCTACCGGCAGTTCAGTATTTTATGCAATGTTCAATGGTGGTTTAGCAGAGAAGAAGAACGAAATTGAAGTGCCTGATGTGGAACCGTCAGCTTTTTTTACATTGTTAAGGTATAAAATACGAATTCGGCTTCTTAATATGAATTATTAACTAAAGCTCTTCATATTAATCCTAATAGATATTTATATTGTGATGAAATTCAATTGGAACCTGATAATATATTGGCTACACTTTATGCTGCCAAGAAATATATTGTGCCACATTTAGCACGCGCTTGTGTTAACTATTTGGAAGTGAAATTGACGGCAAAAAACGCCTGTCTACTTCTCAGTCAATCTCGTCTTTTCGAAGAGCCAGAACTGATGCAGCGTTGCTGGGAAGTTATAGACGCACAAGTATATATTCTATCCCCTCCTACTCATTTTAATCTAACTAAAATGAAATTTCTTTATAAACTTGCAGGCAGAAATGGCGATTAAATCTGAAGACTTTGTCGATATTGATCTCAAAACGTTTGAGTCAATTTTGTCACGTGAAACACTTAATTGTAAGGAAATCCATTTATTTGAGGCAGCATTGAATTGGGCTCTAAATGCTTGCCAAAAGATGACCGTCGATAATACATCCCAAAATAAACGTAATGTATTGGGACAGGCTTTGCATTTGATACGCATACCAACAATGACACTAGAGGAATTTGCTAATGGTGTCGCACAAACTGGCATTTTAACTTTGCAGGAGAATGTGGATATGTTTTTATATTTTACAGCCAAAGCAAAACCAACTTTAAGTTTCCCCACAAGACCACGCGCTGGCCTAAAGACACAAGTATGCCATAGATTTCAGTCTTGCGCTTATCGTTCAAATCAATGGAGATATCGTGGACGCTGCGATTCAATACAGTTTTCTGTGGATCGGAGGTAAGTTATGATGATATATAAAACTTTTATTGTTAATTAATAGATATTTAATTTTATTGTTTTTATATATTTATAGTAGTACTAAGAAATTTGATAATTATTGTGGTATAGTCTATTTTATTGGAGATGACCACCACACAATAGCATATTACATAAGAAAAATATAACTGAACCCTTTTCCGTACATATTCTAAACAACATTACTTCTTCTCACCCTTCTCACCCTATATATATATAATATATATATATATATTATTATTATTATTTCATATATTAAATCTAGTTTAAACATTAATATGACGGTAGTAACTCTTCGAAACGTCTTCATTATTTAATATATTAATTTTTATTGTTATAGACCTATTACGTTTTACGTTTAAAATTATTAAATTAAATTAATTATTAAAAGAAATTTATTATATTAAAATTTTCTATTTTGCACAGAATCTTTATAGTTGGCTTTGGTTTATATGGATCATCAACTGGCGCTGCAAATTATAATGTCAAAATAGAACTGAAACGTTTAGGACGTACACTTGCCGAAAATGACACTAAATTCTATTCAGATGGATCTAGTAATACTTTCCATGTTTTCTTTGAAAATCCCATACAAGTAGAGCCGGAATGTTACTACACAGCTTCAGTTATACTGGATGGCAATGAATTGAGTTTCTTTGGACAAGAGGGTATGTCAGAAGTGTGTATGGGCAATGTAACGTTCCAATTTCAATGCTCATCTGAAAGCACAAATGGCACTGGTGTACAAGGAGGTCAAATACCAGAACTTATATTCTATGGACCAACAACAGTAACTGCCATAAATTCTCCTACAAATTCATTGTGTGCAACTCCAATCGGAAGTGGAGCAGCAGCCAGTGTACTGCCCACAGGTGCTCAAAGCAATACCGATGAATTAATTACCAGCGGCAGTAGTGATAGTGTGACAGCAGCTTGAGTAAGGGCCAAAGTGATAAGAATAAGGCGGAAATTTTCAATTTCAAGTAGTTTTTAATTAAAAAGCAAAACAACGGAATTCAAGGGTTTTCAACATAAATACAAAATACAATACTAAATTTTTATATTAAAAAAAAACATATTTTGAAATTAAAAATTGAAAAATTGTTAGAGTAGAGTATAACAACAGAAATCTGTTATAATTTTTTAAAAATCCTTTTATATATATAGAAAAATTATTCTGGTTTATTATATTATATTTTACGAAAATGAATTTAATTTTATTTGATTTCTTTTGGCTGAAAACTTTTAATTATTTTAATATATTGTTTTTACTAAAAGATTATAATTTGGTTTTTCAAATTTTATTATGTTCAAAAAATATTGTAATTTTATTTTATATTTACTTATAAAGTTAATATAATATTTAAAGGCAATCAAAACAAAAAAAATTCTAAAAGAGCAGAGTAAAACATGTAATAATTGTACTGGGAAATATTTAACAAGTAATATTAAAATAATTACATATATATTTATATATTTAAAGCATATTAAAAAATTATTGATAATGAATTGGAAGAAATATTTAAAGTTGCATATAAAATATATACAAGTTAAAGACAAAGTTAAAAAGTTTTCTTAGAATTTTTCGATATATATACATATAAATATATATATATATACATTTACTTATTAAAAAGAATTAGAAAAACCAAAAGAAAAAAATATTCAAAATTTATTATAAACAAAACACGAAAAAGTTTCCAAGTCTGCATGCATAATTAGTGATTTTTCCTATTTTTAATTTATATAATGTAACCAAATGTAATCAAACCAGTTTTAATCACATATGTAGAATTATTTAGCATAAATATTAAGCTTATAAGTAGTTCAAAAACTTTTTATTAAATAATTTGTTAATCCAAACAAAAGTCAAAAGTACCAAGGTTGGCATTTTTTAATTTTAAAAATGTTCTTGTATTTTTTACATAAAAATACAATTTATACATTTATTTTCTTTTTTAAGATGTATTGCTTAATTCGTTCCGCCTTAAATTTTATAGTCATAACCTTTATATATATTTAATCCAATTAAACATTGCCTTCAATACGATATTAGAAAATATTTACATTATATATTCCTTTCAACGTGTACTGAGTTAGTTTCTATAAAGTTTTTTTAATATCTATAATATATTATTAATTGCTACATCTATCGATTTATTCTATATGATATATAATAAATACTTTTTCAAGACAAAAAAAAAACAATGGGTTAAATATGTATTTGTTTCATTTTCAAACTGTGAAGAGTAAGTATTTTTTGATAAATTAATATATAAAAGAGAATTGAAGCCGAAATTCTGAAAGTTATGCAACCAACTTCAATTCTATACAATATCTACACTGTTGACATAGCACTAATGGAACCAAGAATACTTTCAAACAAATAACACATCCTATGCTCAGAAAAAAATCTTAACAATATTAAAATTTCTTTAAAGAACCGTGTAGATGTGATAACAAATAACTATCATAAATGGATAGTGAAATTTACTTAAGTCAAAGATGATTTCTATCACATAAAAGTGCTACCAATTTAATATTAATCATATTATATCAACTATCTTTTTAGAATAAGGATGAAAAAACATATTCCTGCTGATATACTCCCTTTTGAGACTTCAAATTCGTTCCAATTAAATTAGTCAGGTTTTCTGCATTCACCCAGGTTGACTTCAATTATAATCCCACCCACTTCAATCCATTCTTACTCAACATCTCATCAAAATCCTTATATTAATTACTCCTAAACATCCCTCTCACATTAATATCACCTACACATTCCAACCCCTGTATACAGAATTATAATTACTTTCATATTATCTAGTCGATAGATTTCCTGGGTTACTACAAAAAGAAGGATGGCAATCTAAATAAATAAAATATACATATTAAAAGGTAAAAACACTTCCTGCACATAGACTCTAAATACTCTTCGCCCTCTTCAACATAGTAGATTATATATATATCAAAATAAACCGAATAATTGTCTATAAACCTATTACAAACCATCCCCTTCATACGTACTCATGCTGTATGGAATAGCAGTCAAAACTTTTATTAATTTAAACACCCCACCTATCCACTCCTTTACCCATGTATTCGTCTTATAATCCTTACATGTTATCAGCTTTCAGGTCCCGGCGGGTTACAACAACAACATTAATTTAAACATTCCAAAGCAAAGCAATAAAAATGTTAGTGGAAGACCTATGATATACATAGGTCTTTCACTTAAATAGCAAGTTAAAAACTGACACGATAAAGAATACATCAACGTTAAATCGATTCAACTTTTTGTTGAGGTGAGTATCAAATCTCCATGCTTTTAATATTAGAAAATCTGAGAGATTCTATTAACAAAGAAAGATGATAGGGCAACATTCAGACGCATAAAAAATATATATAACAGCATATAACTTTATAGCAAAAAATCGAAATTTGTACATCTCATGTGATACATACAGAAGTTTTCACCTATATCTTCTTCTTATTTGGCACTACAGTCCAGTTTGGCCTCTTCATCTATATACATATATCAGAAAAAACTTTTTCCAAACATTTGCTGAAATTGTTAATTTTCTTTTCACTTTAATTTTTATCTACATCTCTTAAAGTAGACTATATCTAACTAAGTAAGCCTACTTAACTACGCATTAGAGTAAACAAACTTAGGCTAATTATGAAGTATAAATGAGATCCGGAATAGAGTTACTCTCTTGATGTTTGAGAAAAAAAAAAGAGATCGTTCCAAAATTTAAAAGAAATTTTAGTGGTCAAGGAGTTTCGGGAAACATGATAACCAAGTTCTAGTAGCGATCGGGTTATCCACCTTCAGCTCTTGTCATTGATATTATATACCTCTAGTAACAATCGAGAAGTTGACTTTCCACAACAACATAGTAAGAGAGTGCAACGGATCAGTATTTTTACTCAAGTGGAATTTGTTATACAAAAACTGACAGTGAAGGAACATTAAAAAGTTGTCATAATTAATTTTTACGAAACTTGTCTTCAACCTTGAATGACTTATATACATAAATAGTTGTACCAATTGAATCTGAACCCTTCAATATTCGATTTATAATTGATTTGTTGAATAGCAACACTACTGCACGCCTATTATCCATATTAAATACTAATATAAACTAAGCACTTACCCACAGCTGGTATATTGATGCACAGAGCATGTGTAAGTTTGAGATAAGTGCGTCCCAATTCATAGGAGCAAATCTGTTGCACATCACTTATATCAATCAACAAGTCTAAAAAACAAAACAATAAACAGTATTAATACTAGAGTATTGACAATGAAACGGAGTTCAATGAGTTGATACATACGAGATGTTCCTTCAGTGCGGCATGTGATGTAAACGCATGCAGCATATATGTGTGTACTTTTGCGTCCTCGTGTCAAATGCCTCATCAGTGCCATTTTAAAGAAATTCAAAGCGGTATCAATGTAGTGCTGGGTTAGTTGTAACTGCTGGCACAAATGTG